GCTGTCACAAACCAGATGACCTTACGAGAGGGGCGGGCCCCACGTGCCGTCAGAACGGCTTGGCTGGGGCCCCAGCTGGGGTGCTGAGGGCGGACCTTGCAGTGAAGGCGGCGGCGCAGAGCCCACAGCTGTGGCATTGAGCATAGACAGCGCAGTGGGACATGGACACGGCTGGTTTTCTGGTGAGAGTTATCGCGGTTTGAGAGGTGTGCACAAATAGAGTGCCAGAAATAGTTATGACCGGCAGGCGGTAACCTTAGCTGGTGGCTGGGCGACGTGCCTCACAGTAGGGAGATGGCAGCTGATGTACTGGGAACGGGCCTTCCGGTGAGGAGGTGGCCCCAGCTTCGTTGGATACTGAGGACGGACCTCAATCTGACAGGAGACGTCTGCAGCTGGGCTCTCGGGACGAACGTCACTGTGGGGAAGCTGGTGCACTGGGGGCGGACAGCAGTGAGATGGTCCCAGCTGCCAACCTCCTCCCCCTTCCTCACAGCTGGCAGGTGTTCAGCGACACGCCACTGGCGGCAGACCTCAAGCGGGGGTGCCGCGGTGGTCCCCTCGGAGCCCATCCAGCGGGGGCCTGTGAGGGGGTGGCAGACCCGAGGTGGTGACCTTGACCGGGCGCCGCCTACCCGTCCCAGTTCTCAGCGTCTCTGACCTGACGACCGCCTGAGAGCAGCGCTGGTTCCCAGGGCCGCCTGCGACGCGTCCGCTCCCTCCGCCGGCAGGTCCCGCCGGCGCCGCGTGTCCAACCCCACGCCGACGCGCTGCGGGAGGGCTTGCGAGCGGGCCATCACGGGGATGGCGCGGGGCAGCTCGAGAGCGGGCCATTGTGAGGCTAGAGCGGGGCAGTTCGAGAGCGGGCCACCACCGGGCTGGATCGGGGCAGTTCGAGAGCGGGCCATCGTGGGGATGGAGCGGGGCAGTTTGAGAGCGGGCCATTGCGGGGCTGTAGCGGGGCAGCTCGAGAACGGGCCATCGCAGGCCTGGCACAGAACTGTTCGAGAGCGGGCCATCGTGGGGCTGGAGCGGGGCAGCTCGAGAACGCGCCATCGCGGGGCTGAAGCGGGGCAGCTCGACAGCGGGCCATCGCGGGGCTGGCACGGAACTGTTCGAGAGCGGGCCATCGTGGGGCTGGAGCGGGGCAGTTCGAGAGCGGGCTATCGCGGGGCTGGCACGGAGCAGTTCGAGAGCGGGCCATTGTGAGGCTAGAGCGGGGCAGCTCGAGAGCGGGCCATCGCAGGCCTGGCACGGAACTGCGAAGCCGTTCGTCCAGCGAGCTGCGCAGAAACGCCTGAATTGAGGATCGCTTCACGACCACAGATGTTTATCCGGGGTGAGCTTGGAAACGGGGGGGGGGGGGGGGGGGGGGGAGAGCCTTCTGGATGTCAACAGAATGCCTCCTCCTCTTCTGTCTCTCTTCTCCCTTCTCCCTTGTGTCTCGCTTGTCTTGAATGTCTCCCTTCTGTCCAGAGGCGACGCAGCACTGCGAACGTACTCTGCGCCGTTCAATGCGGGCGAGTATGGCGTGCCTCGCGGTGGGAGTGTGGCCCAATCAATATTCGCTCCAGTATCCGTGCTATGCAGCGCTCAGCCGCCTGCAGTAGCAAAAAGGAGGGAATGGAGCCCGGCGTGATAGCGCGCCATGTACACCTAGTACGGGCCCGGACCTGCCGTGCACCGAGTGTTGGCCGAGGAAGGTACACAGCGGGACGAACATGGAACTAAGGTCAGCACTTACGTATGCAAGCAATGCTACGCCAGCGCCTGCTTCTGCCTCCTGCAAGCATATCATATTAAAGCCGATTAGATGCCATTCTACTCAGCCTGGACATCCCCTTTCTTCAATCTCTCGTTCCATCTGCGCCTTCGCGAAGTGTTGTTTCTTCCAGAACAGGCCACGTGCGCTAGCCATGAGTTGGCCCAAGTGCCCCCTGAGGGGGAGGAGAGAGGGCGGGCTTGTCTGGGCACCAGCACGAGCCCTGAAGAACGGTCCCTGTGCGGCCCAAACCTCGGCGGCTGGACCTCCAGGCGAGTGTAGTCATATCCCACTGTTATCAACTCTCCTCCATCCCATAGCCCTGAAGTGGCTAGGGCTGGTCAAGAGGGCTCAAAGCCAAACAATCAGGCAGCCAATATCTGGACTTCGGTTCAGCACTTTTTACAGCTAAATATTCGGAATCCAGTCCAGTCTGATTCATTTCATCAATGCTGAATTCAATTTACGGCGCATCTGCCCGTTTCACAACTTCCAATTGCGACCCAGTCAAATTTGCAATAGATTAAGAATTTCCCGGAATAGAATAAATTGGTCTAGGTCATTGTTTCAACTTTCGGCCAAGTTCGACTCAAAATATTGAATGTTATCTGGCTACCTCTGGTCCCCCACAATGTATCGTCCAGCTGCACAATCCGTTGAATTTTGCTTAGGAATGGCACATTTGCTCAGCTGCTCTGCCCTAACTTCATGTGCTCCCCGAATCCCGATCCAGTTCACCTAGACCACCAAATTAATCCCACATTTACGACGGATTATCCGATCCATGCAGAGCTCCATTCGGACGACTCCTGCGCACCTGTGAGGCACAGACCCTCTCCTGGACGCCTCCTTCGCACCTGTGAGGCACAGACCCTCTCCTGAGCGCGGCCGCAGCTCCACCACTCCAGACCACATCCGCCGCCCGCATGCCCGCCCTCTCGCCGTCGGCTGCACGCTGCACGTGACCCGCATACCTCGGCGCGACCTTGCCCACACGGCGGGCCGGCCGGCGCGGCGGCGGCCGCCCCGCCGCCGCGATCCTATCCAAGCACGGGCGGTCGTGGCGCGTGCATATTTGGCGCGGAGACCGGCCGGGGTGGCGGCTCCAGCCGCGCGCGAAAGAGGATTCTTCGCGCGTTTTGGGTGTCAACAGCTGACTCTCTCCAAAAGGTTACGAACTTGCAGCAAGGAGACGGGCACTCACAAAACCATTCTTTTCGTGAGATCGGTGAATCACAGACGGGACGGGGCAAATTCTTTCATTGCTTTGTTTCATGCCAACAGCCTGCAGTGAGTTTTCTGCAGTAAGCTCTGCGGCTGCACCTCCCGGCACAGTTTCCCTCGGGTCATCTCTGCGCGGTGCTGTGGAGTCACCGGGTGGTGCACCCTTTGGTATGTCCGCTGACACACCTGAACCCGCCGACAAACCATGCGCCCCCGCCGGCGGCCGGCCGTCGAAGAGCCACGGGTGTCCATGTTCCTGGGACCCGTCCGTGACGTCACGCTCCTCAGACTGAGCGGTGACGCCACCGTTCCTGGACGCTGAGCCGCCGTCTGCGTGGCCCGCAGGTCGGCGAGGTAACGTTGCGCTCCGGCGCAGCGCCGCGCGCTGGCGTCGTGTCCCGCGGCCGTGTCGGCGCTGCACGCCACCGGGGCACGTGCGGCGCCGGCCGGGCCCGACCGGAATCGGCACAAGGCTGCCGCCAGCGCCGCCTGACAGGTGCGTGGGGCGGGGCGGCGCAGGCCGCCTCTGCAGGGAGTCGCGGCGCCCACCGCAGGCGGGGCGTCCGCGAACCACCTCCTGTGTCTGCCGCGCAAGGCGAGCCGGAGGTCGGGCGTCTGCCACACAGAGGGAGCTGATGGCTGGGGTATCTACCACACAGAGGGAGTCGGAGGCCGAGTGTCTGCTGCACAGAGCGAGCCGATGGCTGGATGTCTGCCGCACAGAAGAAGCCGAAGACCGGGTTTCTGCCGCACAGAGGGAGCCGGAGAGCCAGGGTCGCATCCCGCGGGCAGGGTCTGAGGCATAGGCTCAGGACCAGGGAGCTCGGGGAGCACGGGTACCCGGTTCGAAGCCCGTGTGTCTAGGGTTTAGGGAGAGTGCTGGCGTTTGCGTGTCTGCAGTGCAGAGGGAGCCAAGGTTCGCGTGTCTGCGGCACAGTGTGGACCGCGGTTCGCGTGTCTGCGTTACATAGGGAGCGGTGAGGTCCGCCGAGTGTCTGCAATACAGTGGGAGCCTTTGTCCGCGTGTCTACGGCCCACAGATAGCCGGTGCTAGCGGCGCCGCGTCGCACCGGACTTTCCGGCCCTCTCACAGTCGGCAGGTGCAATGGCGGGGCGTTGGCGGCCTGCGGCGGCACCAAACCGAACCTGCCCCGGCAGCGGCCGGCGCGGCCTGACCACCGCCTGACCGCACCGCGGTTAGGCCGCGTCAGACGTTACCGCCGGCGACGCCGTCCGGAATCCATGCTGCGGGGCGGGGGGACGGCACGGAGCCTGCGCTCGGCTCCCGCGTCCCGGCACGTTTAGGCGGCCCGGCCGGCTGCTGGCCGGTGTTGACAGCGGTGCAGTGTACGGCGGGGCGACCCCGGGCTGCAAGCGGGCGAGTTGACTCACCAATGTTGACTAGTTTGATGCCGTCCTGCTCAATGGCTCGCAGCGCAGTGGCCACGTTCTCCAGCCACTGGTGCTGATTCATCGGCCGCGAGATCTTGCGCAGCTTCTTCTTCTGCAGGATCTCCACCAGAGTGACGAGACAGACGCCGTCGCATAGGTCGTTGGCCAGATCGTTGACCTGTAGCCCCGAGGGCACCAGCTTCTCGTTGACCCAGTTTTTGAAGGTGTGCGCCTGGATCTCGATCCAGACATCCTCGTTGCCTTTGATCTGCATGCCGCGCGCCGCGTGGCCCTCGGGACTCCGGGCCACCAGCCCGCTTTGACTGATGTGGAAATCATCATCGTCACTCATGGCACTGGTTGGGCGGGGTGGCCCGCTCGCTCTCACACGCACCCACTCGCGGCACCTCCTCTCGCGCGGCCGTCTCGCTCTGCACTGCACCTGCTACTTTCACTTTCCGCCGGCTCCGCCAGGGGCTCTGCAGTCGCGGCGGCCCGGCCAGGGATGCGCGAAAAACGAGCGAAAAAATCCGCGAAGTGATCGCGAAGTGTGTGGGAACGCGGACGCTTGGACGTGCACGCGACCAACTGCGGCTCCGGCGGGCAGGTGACCCGGAACCACCGTACGGCCTGACGGCAGGGCGCCGGCGTCGGCCCAGGTGCGCCGCTGTTGGAGAGTGTACGCCGGCCGAGGCTGAACGCCGCCCTGCGCTGTTATGACATCACGCTATTTGGCCAGGGGTCGGCGGCGGCGTGCCGCCGTCACCATATATAGGCGGCCGGGGCCCCGCCCGTGGCACGGCGGCCCGTCTGGCGGGACCCAGCGGGACCCGGGCCGCGTCTGGACGGCGGGCGGGGCCCAGAGGCCCGCAGCTGGTGACCGGGGGACCGGCGGGCCCACGGCCCCGGTGACGCCAAGGACGCTCCCGCCCTCGGCCGGCGCGTGGGCAAACAGGCCACCTGACGTCACTACACGGGGCGGGTCGGGAGCCTCTCGGACTCTATGAATGAAACAAACACTCAGCTTCTGTAAATCAGTGAGCTCCCACTGCGGGCTCGTCTCGGTATACCAAAGAATACACAGATACCAGCATTGAATCTGCATGCGTTCTCGACAGCAAAACAGGTGCCGCGTCATACGTAATCTGGCGGAAGCCATTCGTTTGCCGACAGCTGATGCACAAGCGCGTGCCGGATCAGTTTACGGCGCCACTCGGGAGAGTGACGAGACACTCACCTCTCAACACTGGGAGCCGACAGCCGCGCGGCGGTGGAAAACAGACTCCGCCTCTGTGAGCCCCAGCAGTGGGGAAACGAAACCAAGCCTGTGCAGAGCGGCATTCGAGACAAAGCCAAAGAGGACGTGTGGCAGTGCGGTCATCATACATAGCGACAATGCCTCGCAAGATCATGTGACATTACGCTCCCTGCTTCCTCTTGCCCCTCCGTTCAAAGGTCCTGACTAAGGAAGATTCTATCGACCAAAATATATTGTCTCCATGCCTTCTATACTCTCCCAGGCACGCACGGGTGCGCGTGACTTCTAGTCTAGCCGAGAGTCGGTGTGGTGCTGCCGATAGTCTCTGAGTTGGTGCCTTTGTGGCAGCTGGCGTGGCACTGCTGATAACCTTCGAGTTGAGGTCAACATGGATGTCAGGCTGACGCTGCTGGTAGTCTCCGAGTTGGAGTCACCGTGGGAGTCACCGTGGGAGTCACCGTGGGAGTCACCGTGGCGCTGCTGGTAGTCTCCGAGTTGGAGCCGCCACGGGAGTCAACATAGCGCTGCTGGTAGTCTCAAAGTTGGAGCCGCCATGGGAGTCACCATGGCGCTGCTGGTAGTCTCCGAGTTGGGGCCACCGTGGGAGTCACCGTGGCGCTACTGGTAGTCTCCAAGTTGGAGCCGCCATGGGAGTCACCATGGTGCTGCTGGTAGTCTCCGAGTTGGAGCCGCCATGGGAGTCAGCGTGGTGCTGCTGGTAGTCTCCGAGTTGGAGCCGCCATGGGAGTCAGCATGGTGCTGCTGGTAGTCTTCGAGTCGAAGCCACCATGGGAGTTAGCGTGGTGCTGCTGACGTGGCAAGTCGGAAATCTGAGATCATCTCCTCGCAGTAGCGACCTTTGTCTTCTGGTGCCTCCTCATGCAGTGGCGTGAACGCGGCCACATACATCTTAAAGTGTGCAGAACGCGTATCACCAGGCTGTGTTTCGGTTCGAGCTATGAATCCAAACTTTTTAATCGGATATGTTATTCACACGGATTGGTGTCTTAAAAAGAAACCCCAACGTTGAACGGCACTCTACCTTAAGTCATATGATGTGTATTGCTATTACGTATGTTGTTTAGTGCATCTGGAAGAAACACCACTTTCATAGATAAGACAGTAGTAATAGGCCTATTCGTCGGAGAAAACCAGGAGAATAGAAATCTAGATAAGGTGATACTTCGCTAACATGCCTTTATCGAAACCATAGCAGAAGTGATTATGGGTTGTAATCCCTAACTGAGCGTATTGCTGTTGCCTTAGATGGTGTCAGATCCTGCTGGTCCTATTTGGCAGCAAAACCTATGGTGGAAACCACACCAAAGAGGGCACAGTTCATTCTGCGAGCATCAAGACTCACAATCACTCAGCAGAGTCCATACCCTATCAATCCCAAGGGAGGTAGATCATGTCGTCACCAGCAAAAAGAAACGGCAAGTGTAAGCACGACTAAGCAGTGACAAATTTATGAACGGCATGCATTCCACTTAGAAAACAGCTTTCAACATTCTCCAGTCATCTGCGTGCCACCAGAACATGCCCGCGAATACAACGCCGGCGAAGACATGCGGGCTCCTCGTCGCGTCTGCTGTGGCATGCACCAGCGATGCCAGCACTAACGACCCGGGTCGCACCGTTGACGTGCGGAAGTGGCCCGTTCTCCGAGCGCGAGCCAACAACCTCGGTTGCCGCCACAATGGCCGTGTCGCGAGCCGGGGTCCGGCGCCGTTCAGGGCAGCAGAGCGCGGAGAGTGGGGTGATGCGCCGCCGCCCGGCGTCGCCGAGGCCCGCCAGCAGGGGCCCGCAGAGCGAGGAGAGTGGGGTGACGCGGCGCCGTCCGGCGTCGTCGAGACCGCTGCCGTCCAGGGTTCCGACAGAGGGCCATAGAGCGCGGAGAATCCAGGGTCCTACCGGCTCTAATCAGCATCTCTACACAAGTGTCCTGCTTAAGGTCCCACTCGTCTACGAGCAGCTTCGATCCCCCCGCCCCGCCCCGCGTTCCTGTTAGCATCCCATTCGTGCGCCGCCTGACACACCGCCTACCGCGGGGTTCCTGTTTTGCGCCCAATTTTGATGCTGTTTATGGAGAGCACCTGCTAAGAACCCAATTAATACCTTACGCATGAGTCGTGCTTAGAATGACATTTCTCCTCTGCCTGCATTGCTACGCAAGCTTGAAATCGCACTGAAATCGCAATCGCACCTGCCTTCTGTGTAACGTTTGAGCGTGTTTAGCGACAACCGTCACACCCGTACTCCGTCTAATTCCTGCCCACCTGGAATTTCTCTTACAGTCTTTTAGTGGCGCATGTTGCCCGCCAGCGAAGGAGGATTGATAGTCAAAGCATTGCAGGTGCCGGGCCGGTTCTCCGAGCAGATACGAGGCGGGGGGGGGGGGGGTAACCAAACGGATTTTTTTCTTCGTCTCTTTTCACAAAAAACACTGTGAGGTTCGTGTTGATTTTTCAGAGGCGCGGGGAAGGGGAACGGCTGCCGCCCAGCCCATGCTCCGTTCATCATACCCCCCCCCCCCCCTTCATCCTTCAGCTGCGTTCGTGGAGATCAAGGCCTCCATCGCCATGCTCACAAACCTGCATTGCTACGTTCTTGTGCGAATAACATGCGAGCAAAATTCACATATCTTTAGTGGGGCCGCACAGAATCAAATCCGCTGGCGGTGTAAGTTCCATTTAATGCATGCCTCTTCTCCGGTTAAGTTCTTGGTTGCATGGCAAGCAGTGAACATTGCTTTTACTCTCACACTAAATCTCCGGCATTTGTTATAACACTACATAACTGCTGGGGAATGGGACGACGCAGTAACGTTTGTTACCGCGCTGCTGGGCAGCTGTCCGTCGAAACGTCGACAAACAGACTGAAGCTGATATTGAGATTCATCGGCAGATCCGCGTCACCTTCAACCATGGTTTACGTTGCACACTGATTGAGCGTTAGGTGTAGCTCGCATACAGTCGACGACAACAGAGATGCCTTTTTGGTCCGCTTGCTGCCAGTTCTCGACTTGGACGCTCCGATGCAGACCATGACCGTTCGCAACCCGCGCGCTCCCCGCGTGCCCGCAACCACACGGAGCTCATGGTGCACCGCCGCGCCGCCCCGCATGACTGCGGACGGGGCAGGGGACGTGACGTGACTCTGACGTGACGTGACGTGACTCACACAGGTGACGTGACTCTGCTGGACACCGCCAGCTGAGCCGCGCCGTCCGCTGCGCCGCTGGCCACGGCATGTGAGCAGACATGCAGCTGAAAATCGTGGAGAAAGGCCTTACAGCGGTGCGGCGGGGCTGACGGTCAACGGAAGCAAAAAGACGCTATGCGACAGCGTGTCTCTTCAGGTGTCTGGTGGTTGTTTCAGACCTGAATGGTTTCCTTGTGTCTGTACGCAGCGGTTAAAGTTGCCAACAAGGTGCAGCCTCGCGTTGGCTGCCGCCTTCCTCGCCTGTCTCCACGCTCCGAGGGCCTGTCTCCACGCTTTTACTGATCAATCTCATCACTCTGCGACACGTGTTGTTGATGATCATTGACCACGCAGAGACCGACGACGTACGGGGCGAGACTTAATCTTCATATAAACCTTATACAGCCTGTGGCATTACACCCATTTAAAGGACTGTCTCCAGTCTTTTTAAGCGAGTGGGGCGCACATCGTCGCGCACCCCCATGTGGGGCGCCAGTGACTGCCGCGGCACTCGGGGGCCATGGCGCAACCAGCAGTCGAGTTAGGTTCCCCACGTGGAAACCGAAAACGCTGACCACTCGGCCATCACGCCTCCTCAGGGCTCGTGATGGTGTGTTCCTCCTCTTCGTCAATTCCCTTCTCACCTGGGCAGGTTTTTCCGAGCCATGGAAACAGCCTATCATAAACCCCAGTCCCAGTTTCAATCCGCTAATCCACGCTATCTATCCGAACTCGACATAAAACGAACATCACAGTCCTACGCACAATGGTCGGGCGTGTCGTGCAACGAAAGCCTTGCCGCTACTTGTGCAATAACCATCCCCGTTCCCCCCACAGCACGGTTTCCGTTCCCGACACTGGACTGAGGCCGCGCTGGCGAGCAGAGGCGACTACATCCCTACCGCATAGTCCGACCATTGTGGTCCTACTTGTAACCTTAGAATGTCTCAAAATGCGCTGTGCTGTGCTATGATAGATTAACTGTGCCTGTCTCGTCAATACCTCCTTTATGTGGGTGCTGTAGTTTTCCGCAGGTCCTCGGAAGTGACGCCCAGCAGACTCGCCATTTGCTTCAGCCTTGTATCATCTCGGGGGGGGGGGGGGGGGGCAACAGAAGCCTGGTACCGTGTCATGACAAAAACAGCTTCTACTTGGCTTGTTTTTATTATTTTTGCTCCATCCGGATTGTGACTTTGATGCAATCAGAGCTGGTGTCGTGGAGGCTCGAAAAATTATCTTACTTCGGGAGGTTAAGTGGCCGATGTTGCTGATAACCACATAGCTCCTCGGCCAGGGATGTAGTTTACTATTCAGTTATTAGGAGGGGGAGGGGGGGGGCTGAAGCCCCCCTTCCAGCTTGGGCTTCATCTCCCCCAACTTTGGGAAGAGAGTAGACAAAATCCGGGAGGAACCCGTTTGTTGGCATATTTTGGCGGCAGGCTGGGCTATTTTCACTGCTGCCCCCCCCCCCCCCCTCCCCTCAAGTCATTTTGCAGAACTACGCTACTGACAGGAACCACGCGCTTCGTGCTGCGAACGATGGGACGTAATTTAACCCGACGTGAATCCGCTGATGACTCCCAGCACTAATAGCGCCGATTAGTTGACGGGCGAGGTGGTGGAAAGAATGGTCACCGAGTCTGGCACGTGACCCGGACGACCAAATTTGCATCGACCCATGGAAGGAGAGCGCTCATTGCAAGAGTGCACGGCAGTAGGTACTCATTCTGAAGGGCGGAGCCCTCCAAACTTGACACTGAGTAAACTTCAAACCTGCAGCTGACACTCACGCATGCGTTCTCCCAACATGACGCATCATGATATGCAAAATTCTAAGAAACACAGTCGGGGAGGGTGATAAATCAAAGGTCGTTTACGGGGAGAAATCCCGAAACTCGACAGGTACGAATGATGTGCAGAAGCAATTTCCGATTCACTCCCAGCTTATCCCTCATTGTCTTCCAAAAAGGTAAATAGCAGAGCAAAACATGAATTTTCACTCAACCCTCTCGGCCAAGGAAAACCTACTTCTAAGAGTATAGACAATAATGTAAGGAGGCGGGTAGGAGCGCAACATGTGTCAATTGTACACCCGCGCGTCCGTCAACTGAATGCGCTGGAGTGATTATCTGATATTGGCAAGGAACTGCCCTGATGAGATGCAGCGGGCCTAAAAAGCGTGAGCAGAGGTGGCGATGGAGTAAATGAGGCGATGGAGTGCGTGAGGCGACGGAGAGCACTGTGCCTTGCGATGTACCGTGCGCCTACTTCGCGAATTCCGCAAGCATGTGTTGTCTGTGCGTGCTGGAAGGCATAATGCAACTGATCGAGTTTCGAGCCATTCCACTGAGTCATCGCGACAAAGGCCGATGTGGCTCCACGGATGACGACAAGCGGTCGGCTGCCAGCCGATGACGAGCGAGTGGGGGGCACGAACGGGCGCACAAGCTCCAACCAATGCGTGCCTTCCGACGAAGCGAGCGGCGCCTCAGCGATGCTTTTGAGCGGCTATCTTACTGCCAAAAAACGACAGTACAGCGAATGATTTTTGGTAGCTCCCTGTCGCTTAATATCGTTTTACATGTTGTGCCTAATATGTATATATATATATATATATATATATATATATATATATATATATATATATATATATATATATATATAATATTGTGTACACATAATAACTGTCTTTGCCCCATCCTCGTTCTATTTCCGTCCCGAGTGCGCAGCCTGTTCAAAGTGGTAACTTTCAACAGCTGTGACAATCACGAAACACAAAACGTTGTGGTCGGCACATGTCTTCAACAGCCAGAGCTTCACTTAGGCCAGGAAGCCCGACAGCCGAGACAAAATGGTGTAAAAACCCATGCACTTGTTGCTTAGTACCTACAATGTATTGTCATTTCCACCGAGACAACTTGCGGGAGGGAAAATCCTTTTGGAAGGAAATGTCCCAAAGTTTGTTTACAAGAAAACACAACTTTTCGAAAGTGCGACACAGAAATGTTTCACTTCAGTCTATACACCAACATCAGATATAGTAATACACGCGCTAGGTCACGGACAGGGCCGTTCAGTAGCTGGACGACAGCGTGTCACCTACAGGGACAATGCAATTTATTCCAAGTAAACGGTGGGAGGGGGGAGGGGGAATCACACTTGGACATTTTTTCCAAACAACCTCCATGGGGGCGGTATCAAAATCAGGAAGTTGGATGGAGTCAGCCCTCGCCCCCCTCCTAATTCCCACACACTGGTTTCCAATCACGGTAGTTTGGATCATCGGCTGAAAAATGTAACGGCTCGTGCTAGCAGTAATATGCAAGCACCTACACCAGAATGATTTCACAAACACTTGACATGATTTGACAGACAGTTTACAAACGCAAACACCTGACATGACTGGCATTCAATGGACATGATGCAGTTGATGCTGTTTGTATGGATATTCACAAAAAGTGAACATTATTTATAGATGCTAAGTAAAGGGGCTCACACTGAAATCACGGCACAACACCCCAAGGAAAACATCCACTGCGCTCGGGCGCTGGAGCAGCTAATGTTTCCGGGCGGGTACTAAAAATGACCAAGTCGGCACCGACCGCATAATAAAATATCACATGAAATGCCACCATCTTCAAAGGGATAAAAATGTGACTTATCAAACTACCTTGCCTCCTCTTCAGAATCATAGGCGTTTATACTACTTGACGTTCGAATCACGTGGCGGCGCGGGCAGCGACTCACATCCCACCTGGATCCCGAAAGACTGCAGACTACACAATACCCGACCATTCTGACCAAGCCTGGCGCGAGATGGGCTCGGCGCACAACCCATGCCAAGGGCCACGGCACTGGTGGTCACAGGACAAGGTCCTGTCCCTTCGCCGTGAAACGCGCGCCCTGCATTCAATACACATGCCTCTTTCGTCCCCGCACCTCGTGGAAAGTTTCCCAGCGCGAGAATCGAGCCCGCGACCCCGTGATAAGCACGGCGCCTCAGGGTACGGTCCGGTCGTCAGTACGTTTGCAGCAGTGTGAGGCCGGCACGGTCCAGTTGTAAATGTAGGAGCTGCGCGTGCGGTGCTCCCGCTCGCACAGCACGCCGCGGCTCTCGAGCGTCCGCTGCTTCTCGGCCATCTGCGCGGCGCTCTGCTTGTGCGTCACCAGGTAGCGGTTGTCGCAGCCGCGCGACATGTACTCGGTGTCGAAGCGCGGCTCGTGGCGGCGCGTCACGTCCAGCGGCGCCAGCCACGCGCCCATCGACACGTCCTCGCTACCGAAGCGGCGCAGCAGCGGCGCGCTGGCCGCCAGGTGCGCCACCAGGTCGCTGGAGATGACGTAGCCGCCGCCGAGCGCGTACGGCAGGTAGGTGTCGCACAGATCCCAGGCGGGCTCGGCCCACTTGCCGGAGCGCTGCGGCCGCGCCCGGCCGTCGAAGAAGCCCAGGTAGAAGCGGCTGCGCGGCGCCGCCGCCAGCTCGTCCAACAGCGGGCCGAGCCGCGCGAACGTGTCGTCGTCGCACTTGAGCGCGTACCTGTGCCGCGCGTGGCCGGCCAGCCAGGCGAAGGCGGCCAACACCTTGTCAGTCAGCCGGCCGTAGGCGTCGGCCACGTCCGGCAGCAGCAGCAAGTCGCCGTGGCGCGCCTGCTCGGCCGCCAGCTGCACGCGCTGGCCGGGCGGCAGGCTCGCGCCGCCCAACACGAACCAGTGGCGCGCCGGCGGGCTGGCACCGCCGCGCGGCCGCAGCCAGGTGGCGCGCATGGCGGCCCGCCGCTCGGCGTTGTCCGGCGCCGTCAACACCAGCACCGCCAGCTGCCGGCGAAGGGCGCGCCGTTAGGTGAGGCGCGCGCGGGCGGGAGCGTCAGCCCGATCGCCAGGCCGTCAGCACGAGACCCGGCTCTTCCACCAAAAGTAGTGCGGCTTAACGAGCTTGAGTCGAACAGTAAATTAAACAGTTCAACACAGCACCTGCAAGTGAACCCGACATGATCTGTCCCAGTCACAATGACACTTTACTTTTTAGGTGCCTTGGCTGTACCCTGGCTGTACTCTGGCTGTAAGCTTGCACATGGCATAACTGATGAATTGCTACGAAATATAAAACCCTCCATGTGGCCAAGTACGCCGCGCGAACATTTCCATCCTCATGAATCAAATCACCACAGTCATGCATCTGGAAGTGGTTGGAATGCTGCAATGCACCAACTGCACCTGTTTTCACATACCATATACCCTGGTCCATCGGAGACCTGTCGCTGAGCGGCCGACGAGCGCAGCGCCGCTCGGTCCGGCTCGAGGATGACCACGCTGACGCACACGCCCAGGATGAAGCTGACCACCGCCGTCAGGCAGAAGAGCAGCGCCAGCATGGGCCGCCGCAGACAGGGCCGCAGCAGTGCGGGAGCCATCGGCGGCCGGCGCCGGGCCGTGGCCCCTCACGAACCGCGGCTTACCACCACCTGGTCACACAACATGGGGCAGTCGCATGTTTGCATAATGTCGTCACGCAGGTAATGTGAACTTCTACAGCAAACGTAATTTGTTGCAGCCTTCTTCAGCGTAATTTGTTGCAGCCAGGCATCAGCGAAGCGATATGCAAAACGCATCCTTCTATAGCATCGCATCAGAGATGAGAAGTGCGTGCTTCTGCAGGATATTTTCTGCATTTATTCCAATAATGAGCATGGGTGGCTTTCAGTTCAGAGCACCTGCACGGTGCAGCTTATTGTGTGTGCCTGGAATGCACCACCCAAGCAGACCATCCAGTATGATTCATACTTCGCCCCACCCTTTCGCTAAACAGGACTGCAGAGGGTGTCACGCGCCGCACGATACCGTCGCAGGGCAGCCCTGGGACTGCTTCGATCCCCATTGGCTAGTTGCCTGCTAACCTTTCCATCTCCACCAGACCAAGCAATATGTATGCTCTGGGACTCCTACTCAGTGCCACTAGGTTGTGAATCCAGCATGTTTCCCCTGACCATGGAGGTGGCAACACCCAGATGACATCAGTCCTGGGAATACTCTTGGGAATGAGCAATAGCTGGAAATTGGTTGGTGTCACTGTTAGCAGAAGACAATAATAGTGAAGTCATCTAAATTTAGAATTTCAGCTCAGACTAGTACCAGCATTAAGTGCTAAATGGATATACACAACCATGGGCAAATGGGTGCAAGTCTGACTGCACCCTGTGTACAAGTCAGAAAAAAACTTAAGCAACTTTTTTGATGCCTTGCTGTTATCAATCATCACATCACCACTTCTGTAAGTTTAAAAACTGTATTATACTACCATTCAGGTTCTCTTCCTATGTCATCTTTCCGAAGGTTAGAAAATGTGATTGTCTTGAGGTTATTTGAAAGCAACTGACTGTTCTTTAGTCAACTAACACACCACAGAGTCTTAAAAGTTTGGGTTAGAAAAGTATGAGGTGTCCCACAGAACAGACAGCTATTGTCATGTGGCTGTTCAAAAGGACTACCTTCATATTTGTATTTAGGTTTCAGAAGAATAGATTCAATGCTTTTCAGTCATAAGTTGAAATAATGACCAAAATAGCACATCATTAATTATCTGGTGCATCTGGCCAAAGATCAGCTCACTTGCATGAACTGATGTGCTGAGCATGGTATATGCTCTGCAAGGGAAGAGGAAGATCACAAGGTATGAGAGTAGCCCCAGCTACATGGTATCATGCCTTGCACCACCAGGGGCATGGTTCCAGCCAAAATTAAGAAATTTTAGGACAAATCAGAACCTGGAAGATGCAGGCATATTTTTCCATTGAAACTGGAATGAAATGACACACTGCATTGACAACATTGTATGTGTATTTCCTCCTCCAGCCCTCCAGTGGTTACACCAGTGGGCCAAGGGCATCAACAAGCACCTAAAACACTATGCAGAAGATAGTCAGCCATTTCTTCAAAAAATGATTGGCATGAAATTTTGCAGACATAACTTTAATTTACTATCACATTCAAGAGTACCTAATGCTAACCATGTGCAAAAGTACACAACCATATCCAAACTAACAAAAATCTCATAAAGAACATGACAGCTTTTTCTGCAGCAGGTTGCAAACATAGAGAATAATGGTGTAGTGCACAGGGCTTGAACACCTGGATGATGTATCTAGCCATGAGGGACGCACACAGGGCACATCACCAAATGAGTAGTCTGTATAAGCTAAAAGTTCAGACAAGATCTACAGCTATCATGTAACATTGGGAACTTCCAGGAACTGCTCCCAATTTAACTAAGAATATTCAGCATCTTACCCACATGATTTGGCACCAATTCATGTGAATGTCACACATAAACTAGCTCACACAAAATAGCACATAACACCTGCCTAATCAAACCTTCACTTTTGGCAAAACAGACCACTGATACAGGAACTTAAAATCTACTATATCAGGCAAAACTAAATAGCCAGGATGGCATACAATTCAATCAATAACTTGAAACACATATGCTACACCTACTCATTCAACATTCATTCATTTCCCACATTCACATTCAACATTGAGAGCCACACAATATGCCATTGTGGGCCACTTTCTGCTGAAATATAACAATGTTTTGAATCAGTTTTTAGTATACATTACATTCAGACCAGTTTATCAACACCACCAACAAGACATTGCAAATTTACTGATGGCCACACTCTGTTTAACTAGTTCTCCTGGGTAAAAATGGACTCTGCATTTTGCCAGGTTGTATCAACTACCAGCTGCCAGAATTGTAACACCTTACAACAGCAGCACCTTGACAGCTTCCTGCACATGTATGATGATAACTACACATGGCTGAATGAAGTAATATGCTCCTAAGACATTGCAATGCTATGGTACTTAAACATATGACAATGACATACAATGTACAGGAATGTTCACTTGATATGCCTAATTTTATTATTCAGTAGTTCCTTAAACATCAAGAGCCAGCTACATTTAAGGTGTGCAATGTTCACGAACAGCTTGAGTGCAACTGTACATGATATATTATGCAAAATGGGGTTTCCATGCATACAAAATGCAGATATGTATACTTGCTGTAACCAATTTGTGACTACTACACATTGACTGAACACAACAGCCCTCTGCAAGAACAACACTATTTAAGTGCCCGCCTCCTTCAAGAGGAATAAAAATCACCATGATGGGGAGCATTTATGTAAATGGTAACACACGAAATCAGAATGCGACGAACAGGCGGTTTCTGAAAACAATAGCGAAGACAGGAGATCAACATCACAGATGCATTCACGTATCACACGTATTACCTACCGAAACAAATAAACGGAGTTTACCCCATAAGCGAGTTCACTGCACCGAAGGGATGACGCAAGTGACAATACCTACCACAATCTCAGTCCAACAGTTCCCAACAGCTCCAAACCAAGTCCGAAACCAGTCCCAGAGTACTGATGTCATCAAACATATCAGGACGGCTTTACGGCGGAAACGAAACAGCTGCGCCATAATCACTCTATTTCATTTACTCTTTTTGAGCATTTGCAAACGATTTGAAAGAAAAACTGCATTCAACAGCTAACGACAGTTTCAAAGAAATAAAATTATTTCTTAAGGTAGTCAAAAAACTTTTCAAAGTAACAATCGCCCCAAATACTGCTCATATTCCTTTAATGCTAATATCCCAGGCTGAAGCCGCTCTGCATGTGAGCGCTGATAGTGAAAAATTTGATTTTCCATTGGTTGACAAGAGGAGCAGCCTACCCTATTAGCGAATCAGAGATCAGATAAAATAAGCTGGAGTGATGTCGAATACGGAGGAAAATGCCACAGTTTGTAAACAAATCCGCCAGCAGAAAGGGACGAGAAGATAGGCGAGGCCGGGGTTGAGTAGTGTCTTCGCCCTGAAGTTTGGGGGTGCGGTGATCGCTCGCGTGATCTGCCTCGTAACAGCATTGTTTGCTTCGCGGCGAAAATGAGGTTCAAGACTGCAATGTTGGCGGAGCCCAGACATTATGATACCGTCACTGCGGTTGGCTGGTGTACTACTGATGAAGTGTTTTCTGTGGCGTAAGTTACCTTCGTGCCATTCGGTTAGGAGTGTGGTACATGTAAGTCCAAGGTCGTAGTTTCACAAAATGTGTTGGGGCTGGTCGACTAAATAGTGATAAATGGCCTAACCTAACCCCAAAATATACCAAAAATGTTCCTTCCCAGATTTGGCTCACTTCCCAAAGTTGGAGGGGCTGGAGTCCAAGTTGGAAGGGACGGGCTGAAGCCCCTCAGCTGAATAAGAAACCACACCCGTGATACAGTCACATGTGTCTCTGTGGCATTAAAAGAATCTATTAGGGGCTAATTTTTGCTAAGTCAGTTAGAGGGGGGGGGCTTAGCTGAGTGAAAATAATTAACACAACTGCGATTTTCACGTAACTTTCCTTTAGAAGTAGGACGTGGGAAGGCCGACGGCAAAATTTGGGGACTGGAAAACTGAAAACATTGCTTGAGCCACCAATATTTAACGTGACGACTGGGCTCAGTTCCTCAGTTTCCGTCGCGCGGTAGTCCAAATCATCTCACTGTGAATCACATTTTACCATGTCCTTTCTCATTAAAAGCGTTAATTCGGTCTTGCGTTTGGTGCCCGCAGTGACGACCACACAATCCTGCGCTGGAACTTAATGACTCAGGAGCAGGAGAAGGTGGTGGACCTAGGCCCGGACGTGTTCCCGGTCGACCTACACTGGGTGCCGCGCGAGCTGTCCGCCGCGCCCGCCGCCCAGAAGAAGGGTGGTACCATGGGCGGTGAAATCTTCGTCGTGGCGGCCGCCGACGGTGCGTGCTGACGGCCGCACCGGGGGTCTGGGGTTCGAGTCTAGACGTGCGCCCCTGTCAATGGTCTCTCGCTAGCGTGATAAATGGGAGGAGTAACAATTACCATAGCAGCTACACGAGTTGGTAAACTGTCAACGAAATCTGCATACTGCACCACCATATTGAACAACCGTAGCTGTCCCACAGTGTAAGCCTCCGTCGCAAGTCGAGCGTGGGGCCAAATGTCGTGTCGGTATTGAAAGTGACGTATTGGGTGGAGCATAACATAGTGCATTCGAAATATATTGGCTGCGATAGACGATAACAAGGTGCATTCGGATTGGTTTTCTCATAACGGGAACGGAAACAGCTTGTTCGTGCATGTGTAGTGTCGTTTACCGGCATGTAATCCTTTTCGTGTTGCGCCGCACCTTACACTGTATTCTGTTCTTTGCAGGCAAATTTTACATGATGAACAAAGTGGGCCGTGTGGAAAAGACGGTCGAGGCCCACAAAGGGGCGGTGCTCTCTGCCCGCTGGAGCAGCGACGGATCAGCTCTTCTCACATGTGAGAAGCGGTTGTCAGGCCTGCATCTCACCAAGTTCTGGCATTGCCACCTGACTATGGAGACATATATTGTTTCATTTGCGTCATTAGGGATGTGTCGTACATAATGTTTGTCTTGCAGGGCGGTTTTGGTTGTTGTTTAATGCGTGTTAATTCGTCGTGTTATATTTGCCGCTTCCACTTTAAGTTTTTCAGAACGTATCGACCATAAGATACCTTGTGCCTATCTGATTTGATTACATTGCATCTAATAGAACCGAAACGAAACCAAAGTTTTGTAACTCAGAACCATCACCTCCGTGAAATTACCTATTGCAATAAGGCTGACATCATCTGCTCGCGGTCGTGGACACACCTTACTTCAAATGTAGTGGTATAACCCTGGACGATCTTGAGAAGAGTGGAGCCTTGTGGGACCTGTTCCTGTCTGACAGTGGGCCAAGGCGGAGTTTCAAGGGCCGGCCCCACCCGTCGTTCCCCTTCACCCGCCCTGCAGTATGTAGACCGGGGAGCTCAAGACGTGGTCCGGCTAAAACACCTGGGCCGTCTTAATGTCCCCCAGGTCTGTAACTCGTTGCCGGCAATATGTTGCAGGGGATGATAGCTAAATATGTGCTCCCGCTCTGTCCCTTCCTCCGCCGCTCCCCTGCCCGGCAGCTGGTGGCGACCGGGTGCTAGGGAAGTGGTAACGCCTGTCTTGAACTCCCTCCTCCTCTGTCCGGCAGCTAATGAGGACGCAGTGCTGAGGATGTGGTAATATCCTGTCTTGATCTCACTCATCCCCTATCCGGCAGCTGGTGAGGATGGGGCGCTGAAGACGTGGCAACACTCTGTCCTGACCTCCTTCCACCCTGTGCGGCAGCTGGTGAGGACGGGGCGCTGAAGATGTGGCAACACTCTGTCCTGACCTCCTTCCACCCTGTCCGGCAGCTGGTGAGGACGGGGCGCTGAAGACGTGGCAACACTGTCCTGACCTCCTTCCACCCTGTGCGGCAGCTGGTGAGGACGGGGCGCTGAAGACGTGGCAACACTCTGTCCTGACCTCCTGCCACCCTGTCCGGCAGCTGGTGAGGACGGGGCGCTGAAGATGTGGTCCCGCTCCGGTATGCTGCGCTCCACACTGGTGCAGGGAAGCAGCTCCATTTACGCGGCCGACTGGGGACCCACCTCGGCCGAGGTGGTGTACTCGCAGCGCAAGAACATCGTGGTCAAGCCGCTCGCGCCCAACTCCAAACCCAACTCGGTGAGGACTTCACCCTCCAATCCAGCGTCGAGGCTAGCTGGGTGGGACGTGGCCATACGCGGCAGAAGAGCGTGGTGCTGGCCGCTCTGGTGTCCGGGGAAGGCGCGAACTGCGGCTGGCGGCAGCCAGAATACTGATGCTCTGCGTTCGAGTTGCGTTAAATGTTGCTGGTCCTGACTGATCAGTGTCTACGCTTGTGAACGCCTTGGTGAGTGTTCTTTGGCTCACTGGGATGGTGCGTGTTCAAAGCTAATGTTAGCACAAAATTACGGAGATTCGCGGTTAAATTCGATGAAAAGCGTTTAGCCGGTGAGCAACTGGACGCAATTTTGTGATGACAGTGCATTTGTTCGCATGCATGATGCTTCAAGGTAAGCACCAAATGTATCGTACCACATGGTCTTCAACTCACTCGTGGCAGCGCAGCTGTGCGCGGTATCGTCACTAGACGCGACTCACTGTCGGCCTTTTCCAGTGGAAGGGGCATGAGGGGCCCATTCTGACGCTGGCCTGGAACACCAACACCCGATTCATCGCCTCGGGCGCCGAGGATTGCAGGTCAGCGGCGAGCGCCAGTGACGGCGAACGCCACGCCACTGACGGCGAACGCCACTGACGGCGAACGCCACTGACGGCGAGCGCTACAGACAGGCGGCTGTGTGATTTTTTCGCCTTGTGTCCGTGATGCTGGTCGCATATCGGTCGTGGCTGGGTGCGCTTCAATAAGGACGTGTGGTGTACGTGATACGTCCTGCTATGGGGGCAACAGCGGCTCTAAAGGTCAACTAGGTGACTAGGCGGTAATTCACGGCGAGAGCGCCCCCCCCCCCGCCCCCATGATCTGGAATCCACATTGTTAACCACTGGGATATTTTCCCCGCCTGGTAAAACACTGCCATGGACATGCCACGGCTTGTCATTACTGGACGCGTCAGCTTGCGTGTCCGTACCGCAGGTACCGCATCTGGGACAGGTACGGCCGGATGTTGTACAACTCCGCGGCGCATGACTACCCGGTGACGGCCATCTCGTGGAGCCCCAGCGGCGACAACTTTGCCGTCGGCTCGTTCAACACGCTGCGACTGTGCGACAAGAAGGGCTGGTCGCACTCGCTGGAGAAGCCCAACACGGGCAGCATTCTGCGCATCGCCTGGTCCAACGACGGCACCCAGGTGGCCGGCGCCTGCTCCAACGGCCACGTCATCTTCGCGCACGTCATCGAAAAGTGCGTGGGTGGTCAGCGCGCTGGGCGTGGCGCCAGTCTGGACTGGGAACGTTGGTAGCGTTTCTTGTTGAGGGCGCTTCGGACTGGCCGTGGCTGTTGTCGTATCGAGGCAGACGTTTAACCGTAGGATAGAATGCCACGTGTGCCGTGAAGGACGGCACGCGGCCATAGACGAACGTCCTTGAATAAGACTGTCAAATGTTATTTGTTTTCGTGGCTCAGAATAACGAGCGAACTGGAAATTCTGCAGTCATGCGATTCTCATTGCGTTATATTAACTGGATGCCTCCATTCGCCGCCATAAAGATTGCGTACTTAGTTCCGTTCTCATTTGACTGGAGCCGTTTCCACAAAGTTGCCAGGGAAGACCCGTGCTTAAGACTGTACAAGGCAGTATCAAAGCCGCTTACATATGTAGTTCGATCTTAGGCGTGAATACAGCTTTGCGCTCCGGCGGCGGCGGCCCTCTGCAGCCACCTGCGCATGCGTGCCGGCCGCGCTCCACCCGGGGTGAGCCGTGGGACTCGGCCGGCATGGTGCGCGTGACGCGTGCGTGACGGGCCTCCGGGCCGGCCGCAGGCGGATGGAGTGGGACCATTACGAGGCGACGGTGACGGGCCGCAAGACCATCTGCCTGCGTGACGTCATCTCGGACGTCTGGGAGAAGCTGGAGTTCCAGGACCGCATCATCATGACGTCGTTCGCCTACGGGTGAGCGGCAGCCGCGGAGGCGCTGGGCAGGGGTGGAGATCCAGCGGCAGGGGGCGGGTGCTCTAACCACTATACCGCCTGCGAAGATGTGTGGCTGTACGCTGCCAGATGAGGACCCTCATCTCATGCACTCATTTGTATTTGCCTCGCTGGGCTCCCTGCGCCAAAAGCAAAAAGGTGTGGCAGACACATTGTAAGCTATAATGTGTCACCATTCATTGTCCGCTGCTGGTGCAGTGGTTACAATATGAGCGTACAAATTACCGGTTCCAAGCCGGAACATGCGAGAGCCTTCAAGATAGCTCCTTGCATAGGTCCGTGGCGGGCGCCCTGAGGTACTTCGCAGAGCCAAGTACACTTGATACCGGTTGAAACGTGGCGTGCGGTTTGGCGCTATTTAAGTGGACAGTTGTCCAAATTTCATGCGGCCATTAGAAATGGCTTCCGAAGTGCGGCGGCTCTTGCGTGTTATTTTCCACCTCTGACTTTGGCTTTTCGCCCGCGACCTTGTAAAAGTGATGCTTGGGATGGTTTCGCTCATTTTGGGGTTTTGAGCCTCGCATTCTGGCGCAATGTACAGTTGTTTGCCTCATCACCCTTGCGTGTCGCCCTGCTGGACGCTTTATCACAGGCCATGACAGCATTAATTGTGTGGTTGTCGCAGCTCACGTTCGCCTTTTCCCAGGTACCTGCTGGTGGCCACGACCGGCCAGTGCTTCGTCTACTCGTCCCGCAACTGGAACACGCCGCTCATCTTCGAGCTGAAGGAGGGCAACGTCCACCTCATCCTGCAGGCCTCGCAGTAGGTCGCCATGCCGACGCCACGACTGATGATGCTCCTCTCGGGTCACGGCAGGTCACGGCCGGGGACGCTCCTCACGGGTAGTGGCTGAGGAAGCTTCCCAGGTCAAGCTAGGTCACGGCTGGAGACGCTCCTCACAGGTTACGGAAGGTCACGCCTGGAAACGGTCCTCACAGGTCACGGCTGGGGAAGCTCATCACATGTCACGCTAGATTACGGCTGATAATGCTCCTCACAGGTCACGCTAGGTCACGGCTGAGGAAGCTCATCACATGTCACGCTAGATTACGGCTGAGAATGCTCCTCACAGGTCACGCTAGCTCACGGCTGAGGATGCTCCTCACACGTCACGCTAGATTACGGCTGAGAATGCTCCTCACAGGTCACGCTAGGTCACGGCTGAGGATGCTCCTCACAGGTCATGCCCGGTCACGACCGGAGACACCGGACCGGAGGACCGGAGGCATCCACGCTGCTCAGAGCTGCGGTACGCCTTACGGGCATGGTCGTCTGATGCCACAAAACAGCACTCACCGCAGGGTGTTCTCACCAGTGATCGGCATATCGGCGTCCTCTTCAGTAGACGGTATTGGGTGTGCTCCCGGCAGTGCGTGCTCAGCCGGTGGTCTGTGTGCTCTGCTGCAGGGTGTTCGCGCTGGTGGACGGCAACTCTGTGTACGTGTACACGTACGAGGCGCGGCTCCAGTGCACACCCCGCTGGCAAGGCATGCGACTGGACAGCGTGTCCGAACAGACCGCCTCACTCAGCAACGATACGTTCGCCTGCCGGGACAGTGACAGCGAGAAAGGTGAGCCGTCGGCAGCTGGGAGGGTACCGGGGCTGCGCTGCTCCCCCATCCCGCCACGCCCTTCACCTCCGGCCACTGACGTGACCAAGGCTATGAAAACCTGTGTAGGCGAAGAGAAGGGTAGACGTCTAGCTGTGGATGGGCCCAGGACGTCTGCCAGTCGGAATGCATGAATGCACCCGTTTTTGTTTTGTTTTTTGTTGGTCGTCTTTGTTGGGGTCTTTGACCATGGTAACCAGGGAGGCCGGAGTTCATATTTGAAGTTACGAAGTCACAAATGCACTGTCGTACCTGCAATAGGTACACTTTTCGATGGGTAACCTAGTGACATCCGTTTGTGAGCAATTTGTGACTAAACTGATGGGACCACAAGAACCTGTATAGTTGAATAATTACCTACCACTACAAACTGCATTTGTATCCTGTGTTGTGATCATATGAAAAGTATGTTTATTACGCTCGCGCCCGCTGCCCGATAAATGTTGCATGATTAATTTATTTCACGCTTGTCACCCACGCTTTCTTCATGCGTTTGACCTGGCGTATATGGCCAACTTGAAGTGGTGCCCGTGAGGTCCCTCTGGTGACTTGGCTCCGTGTCGCCGGTCAGTGATCCAACTGATGGACGCCATGACCGGCAAGCCAGTGATCGACAAGCCGTTCACTCACAAGTGCGACGTGCTGGAGCTGGCGCTGGACCAGCAGCTGCCGGCCGCCCAGCGCAAGCTCGCCTTCGTCGACGCCAATAAGGATCTCTTCCTGCTCACGACGCGCCGGGTGGGCGGCGCGCGCAAGCTTCTCCGTCTCGGTACGCCGGCGACGCTGGGCTTCGACGGACCGCGCGGCGGCGCACCCGCGAGAGTGGCGTCACTGGCACCGGCGGGGCCCCTGCGCGCGAGGCGGGCGATGAGCCGACGGTGCTGTGAGAGATTGCGATGCGCCGCGCAGTTATTTGAAATAGTCTTCATGGCGGCGCCTGCGCATCGGAAAATGTATTTCGTGGGGGCTACGCGATGTGTCTCTGACATCGAAAGGCATTGAGTCCGTCCAGGCGTCCGGTATGACGGGAGGTGTCGAGGCGCCTGACAAGGGCAGGCGAGGTGACTGCCCCGCGTGCGGTGGTGACGCCGTTCCGCCCCGCCGTCGCAGGTATGATGGTGCACTCGCTTTGCTGGAGTCACCAGGCCAACATGCTGGCTGGTCTGCAGGAGTCGCGCCTCTCCGTCTGGTACTACCCGGCCGTCATCTTCGTCGACAAGGAGCTGCTCAACATGACCATCCTGCAGAAGGAATCGCCGTGAGTGTCGCCGGCGCCGCTCGGCACTCGCGGGTCGCGTGCGCCCGGGCCCGCCGCTGCTCTGTGTCGCTCCCGTCGACCAGGCATGGCTGGACTGGGGTGACAGCACGGGTTGTTCGTTTGGGGACTGGACGTTTGCTTTGAGACTATCACGGCTTCCCTCGCCCGCCCTTCGCACGCAGAGAAAGTACGCAATGAAAGCATAAGACGTGAATTCTGTCTGCCTTCTGATGGAATTGTATTCTGTACTTTGTATGATGCTCCACTATCAAGCTTGAGGCTCATCAAACGCGCGTGCTGCTTAATTCGATGGTTACAGCATAGCTGTACACGTCGAATGTAATTGTCACGCTTAATGAGGCAACGAAACCCTGGTGAGATTTGCACCCCGGGTTTCATATTGGAGGGAATAATCAGGACCGACGTGATCCACTCTAAGCATGATCCGCACGGCACACGCACACATGCCCTCGATTTCTACCATTTTCAAGGCCTGGGTCCGAAACGAGGTTCTATTCAACGCCTCCTACAGCTGCCCAGCTGTCTTCATCCCCATCCTCCAATGACCAGGCGTCATTTGTGCCATGCCCACCGCGCTGCGGTAGCCCGCAGCGTTGCATATGCCGCATGCGTCAACAGCGTCAATGATCACGTCTCCAGACCGGCCTGGTCGGAGGTGGCCGTGAAGCGTCGCGTTCCCAGGAGCGTCGGGCGACTTGCCGCCGTACGACTGGGGAAAACACGCCTTTTATGTAGTCGCTCGGTGACATCTCCGGCTTCTGACCTGTGATTGGCTGCTGCATGAAGGTCATGCAGGCCGTGGCCGTGACTGGGTGCGTAAATGCATCTGTGTCATCCGGTGGCCGAGGCTTCTAGCCTCTGCTTTTAGAAGCAGAAATTAACCAATAGCGTTTCACCCTTATCTGCGGATCCCTTGAAGCATTTGCAGCTGAGCTATCATGCCGAAAGCACCGTTGGTCTCCGTGACGTGAAACTGTGCTGTGTGTGCTGGACCGCGGGCTGGGGGATGAGAGGTGAGTGGAGACGGCGACGCCCTCCGTGATGATGCTGTAGGGCTGTGAGGAACTTGATAAGCACAACAACAGTCCCGCCAAGGTGTGCGTTTTAGGTATTTATACCGATAGCTTGACAGCGAGAAAATGAATTGGTTGTAAGCGAAAATAGCTCGGTAAAACAGTCAGGTGGACAGGGAGTAAAGTGATGAAGGGGTCATCATACCAGGACGTTCTCGTCAAATGGCAGGAATATTTGTAGGCTTTGTTCCCTTGTTCATTTCAGAACAGTACAAAGTCACCAGCAAAGCCAGTCACAATGTTAGTAGTGACAGCATAAGTCCAAGGATTATTTTGTCGTCACGGTGACTTACAAAAGTTCTGAGAGTGCAACGCCCGTGCAGACAGCACGCGCCCAGGCGTCACTGACACCGACAAGCAACCGGAGCGTGCGGACATCACGCGCCCAGGCGTCACTGACACCGACAGACAACCGGAGCGTGCGGACATCACGCGCCCAGGCGTCACTGACACCGACAAACAACCGGAGCGTGCGGACAGCACGCGCCCAGGCGTCACCGACACCGACAAACAATCGGACCGATAACCGGGACTTAGATAAAGGTACGCGTAGTACAAATTTAGCTCAGCATTGTCTTCAGATTGACCTCGGTACCGGACACTCAATTGTGTATGCGTCCCTCAACATGAGGGTGACATTAAGTTGGCAAGAATAACATGCGCAGTGTTTTAACAGACAGGGTCTCCTGCATGAGCAGGGACTGCCTCCGTGATAAAATGTTAACATTTAACTTGAGTAGGGAGTCTAATGGTGGTGACAAAGTTCTTCATCCATACATATGGCGTATGAATAGTTAGTTTGTCTATAAATTACATTACGCATGGAAGGGAGGTTTTTATGTAGCTGAATGGAATCGTAAGAAGGAAGGGGTAGAGGATGTTTTCGAGAGCGTGGCGCTGTGCCCTAATGTGGTTGCAAATCATGCCAAAATGCAAAGCATTTGTGTGTGCGCCCCCCCCCCCCCTCCCCTCCCTCGTCCTCGCCTCAGTGTCTTTTGTCCAACTACTACCATTGGATGCGTTATCAAGATATAGCTGGAATTTGCATTCAGAATCCTGTCTCTGCGACGCTGCTGGAATCACGGCGTGTTTTGCTCGTCTTGCTGGAGTTTGCGCTGCGACTCTGGATTTTGCGCCATCCACTTTCTTTGAGTGGGGAACCACCATTCTGCGTCGCCACACCAAATACGATGATGCTGTGGTTTCTGTTTTTACTGCTTTGTGCTCGTCTACCAAATAATACGAAGGCTGTGATCATTAGGCAGGGGCACGTGTGCGCCGGATATGACACCGGTAGCTCACTGTGTCAGTTGGACGGGCTGCTGTCTGTAGAACACCCTGTCACTCTGACGGAGGCGGGACGTACACTGAGGGCCTCTTGCTACGTTCCGTGGGGTGTACGTGCACATGCCGTCGTCCACAAATGCTGTCCCGGAGACTGCTTTTCGTGTTGGCATTTTAAAGTCAGCTTTATTGTGGGTGTGTCTCTGTCGCCAATGCAAAGTTTAGTCTTGTACATCTTGCATTCAACTTCTTAAAGTTTGGATGGCTACTCAGTGTATGAGTAGGAACTTGCTAAAATGCCTAGCTCCTACTCTTATGTCGAATTCGGTAAAGCCTTCGGCTACAATCTGACGGTGTTCGAAGTTCATAGAATATCGTTAAGTCCGCCGAAAAACCTCGCTAGGAAAAGACGCAATATATTCTTTTAAATATCCTTTACTTCATTCACATATCACGCGACAGCTCGACATTCACACGAATTTACGAATCATTTTATCTACGATTCAATCAATCACACGAAACATTAACACTTATCTATCATCTACGCAGTTCTTGACGCTTGTGATCAATAAAAGTTGGCAACGTAGCAGGTCTGGATTGCAGTATCTATCACGCGTTATATGCGGACGCTCTTTTGCTCGCGCGCTGTCGCCAGACAGGATGGCAGCTGGGTGGAACCGGAGCGGGCTTCCTGTATCAAGGGGTCAGCATACTAGAATACGCCAATGTCATAAATGACACATACACGTTGGGACGCATCGTAACACACCACGTATCACACAAATGCCAACACTGAGATTACATCACCAATTACCGCGGACGGGATGCTGCGAAAACACGCGCTATGCTGTTTCGTACCTGACAGCGCTAGGCGCGGCTTGTTGCAGCGGTGTTTGAGATTGTCTTTGAAAGGATAAGCAGTGTCTTGACGCACATGAATTCTGGAGGAAATTCGCATAAAAGACAGCATATAATTTGGGTCATGGAATTGCTGTCATGTTTTGCTGTGAACGTTGACCTGATCCTTGCGCTGCATGGCTATGCATAACAGATGCATGGGCCCCAAACCAGCCACAAGTCGACACGGCATCACCAGAATAACGTCAGAGCCTCCAGTACATGACTAGAAAGTTAGGTGAGGGTGTGATTGAGCTTGAGTTAAGTGAGGTAAGGTCGAGGGCAGGGGGGTCGAATTCGGCAGAATCAATGACCTCATTGGCTTTTAAATACTTCACACCACGTTACCAGCACAAGTGTGTGATTTCAGAAGGTGCGCAAGGATCATACTCATGCACTACATGAGTCCCCTGTAACTGGGAACGTCGCAAGCTGTGGCGGAAGCCTGCATCGCCCTATTGGTGTTGTGTGCTCAGGATGTGCTCACCAAGCCGCGTACGACATGAACATGGTTGAAATTGCTGGAAAATCCCTGGAATGAGATTTGAGACACACTTTCATCAGCGCACGGTGGGCAGGTGTACCCGGGCGCCGAGTCAGAACTGGGCGCAGGGGTCGAACGTGGGCTGCCTCCGAGAAGTGATTCTGGCATACACCTGTTGATACCTGGGGTAACCCCGACGACGCTGTCGCTGGCGGATTACGCCTATACCTTGGGATTGGGGGTTGGGGACCGGTCCACCACCGACGACAGAGACCGTCGTTATATCGGTGTTGCCAGGGGGAGTTATGACTGGAGAAGTTATACCCCCGGGGCGAGGGCGAATTCCGCTACCCAGAGTGCCTAGTCGGTTGAGAAGGCTATTGAGAGGCGATCCTCCTCTGCGAGAGCCTGGTCCACGTGTCCCCCGCCTTCCTCCCCTGCCTCCCCTGCCCCCTCTCCCTCCTCTCTCCCCTCTCCCTCCGCTCCCCCGACTGGCCTGCCGACGCCTGCGGCCAGAGCGGGCGTACGCTGACAATGACCCCTGCTGCGACCCGGTGCTATACGCACCGAACTGACACTCGGGCGGGATCTGCCTCATCGGCGTACTTGGTCGGCTCTGCTGTACTGGCTGGCGCTGGATCTGGATCTGCTGCACTGCCTGAGTTTGGATGGGCTGGGTCTGTTGCACTGGCTGGTTCTGGATCGGCCTGAACTGCCGCGCCGGCTGGTTCTGGACCGGCCTGGACTGCCGCGTCGGTTGGTTCTGGGCCGGCCTGGACTGCCGCGTCGGTTGGTTCTGGACCGGCCTGAACTGCCGCGTCGGCTGGTTCTGGACCGGCCTGAACTGCTGCGCTGGTTGTCTCTGGGCCGGTCGGATCTGTTGTGATGTCCGTCCGGGCCGCGTGGCGGCGCCACTGACGCGCAGGCAGCATACCTCAGAGGTCGGGCAGCCGGAGGTGGCGCTGCCGCGGGTGAAGCACCGTCCGGCCGGCCGGCAGTCGCCCACGAAGCTGTCACTTGTCACACAGCTCGAACCAAATGACTCTGCCGGCCACAGCGACGTGTTAACACACGCCATCAACACAGCGTCGGACTCGAAGCATGGACGTCTTGTCCGGGTTGAGTTGTCGACCTGCGATTTAGCTGGGCCTGTTTACGTGGCACCGCCCATCCTCTCACAAGCCATCGCTCCATCCTGGGTCCCTGATGTGCTTGGCCCCAGTGGCGTGCGTCAAATTGAC